TCAAACTAACCATGTGATACCCATGCCCAGGAACACATTGGTGTCTTCAAAGTCTTCCAAAAAGCCATTAGATCATGCCCAATTTAATTTCAGGGGCTGCAATATTCCATTTAATTGTAGAAAATATATGTCAAAAAATTAAGATATGTCTTTGCTTATTTAGATGTAATGTCTGCAGCAGAAATGTGTTTCTGAGCCTGGAATTGTCAGTATCCTTACATGTCAAAACCTAGAGATGGGATAATAGCCCAGCTATTTTTATTTCAAAGGATTTCTAAAAAGTTGTGACTTTCAGAGTAAACCAAGCTGCATTGTCAATAGTTTCATATGTTGCTGGACTGTAATTCTGCAGTCCAGCATATTTTTTGTATTTTGTTTCATATTGTGCTGGACTGTATTATTTGAACTATGGGTGAAGAATTGTTGCTGAAATATTTTTGCATTCAAGATTATTTTTCTGCACAACTGCTTAATTATGGAGGTAATTATATGGGTGGGCCTTATTGAAACCATACTTTCCGATCCTCCCAGCTTTATATGCATTTTTTTTAAGGCAACTTTTATGAAATGTAAGGGGCTAAATATCCTTTGTCTCTCTCCTTCAGAAATCTAGCACATTTGAAGAATCAATTAAATATTTAAATATTGATTTGCAGGTTTTCTCTGTGTACTTTGTTTCTGTCATCCAGATACAAACTTCCTTGTAGCGTCAGAAGCAATACAGCCCAGTCAAGCCTATGCAGGTAGTCCTCAACTCATGACTGCAATTGAGCCCAAAATTTATGTTGCTAAGTGAGAAATTTGTTAAGTGAGTTTTGCCCCATTTTACGACTTTTCTTGCCACATTTGCTAAGTGAATCATTGCCGTTGTTAAATTAGTAACACGGTTAAGTTAGGTGGATCTGGTTTCGCCACTGACTTTGCTTGTTAGAAGGATGCAAAAGGGGATCAAATGACCCCAGGACGCTGCAAACATTATAAATGTGAGTCACTAGAGCAGCATCCAAATGTAAATCACATGACCATGGGGATGCTGCAACGGTCATAAATCTGAAAAATGATCATATGTCATCTTTTTTCAGTGCCGTTGTAACTTTGAACAGTCACTAAGTGAACTGTTGTAAGTCAAGGACTACCTGTATGCTTCTAGGCGCAAAGTGTCTCCCACTCTTCTACTATAATATTCCCTTATGAAGGAGGGTAGCAGAGAACAACTCGGGGATTTCTATTTCATTATATAAAAGCAGAAATCTAAGTTTCTTTTTGCATCCCCACTTGCCTACCAATAAGTTATGCTTGCATAGAATCATGCATTATATCATTAGAGGTCTTGTAGTGCTTGGATCTGCATTAAGTCTAATGTAACTACAGGCAGAGCATAGAGAAAAATAGCTGTTGTCATTTTACACCTGCCAGCCTCAAAAGAATGTAGATTGAGACTGGTGGCATACAGTACTGTTTTTGTCTATGGTATATTTAGCGTCTCATCTCAAAGTAAGACTCCCTTTCTTTTCCCTTTCAGCTCAGTTAAGAAAGAATGTATGTTTTCTTTGGCTGTCTTCCCTGCTCGTTACAAGAGGGGGGAAAAACAAACAAACTTGATTCTGAGGCGAAATTAATCAGACAGTAATTTGTTAGTTGCACCCAGTCTGGGAAGAGTTATTAAGTAAAATAAAAACAATAAGTGTGAATTCTGATTTTCTCTGAGACAGATTTCTTCCTGTATCATTAGAAAAAGTTGTCTGTTTTTAAAGGTTGTGCGTGTGTGTATGTGTGTGTGTTTGGCATAAATACATTCAACTACTGTCTGTATAAGGTCTTAGTCATCCTAATTTGTATCTCCGTTGGAGAAGTGTGGGAATGAACATTTGGAACAGTAAAGTAACCCAGCGTATGTTGAGATACTGAGCCAAAATGCACAGATCAGGCTTACTGCCAGAGCTTGAATCATCCAGCCACTCTACCACTATATTAGTAATTAGGTACTTTGTTTTGTGTTTCATTGACCTCTTTATTCTTTTGAAGGTATAATTTCTTTATTTGCAAAGCAATACACTGGCAAATTAGAAGTCTGAGACAATAGTGAGATTTTAATCTGTTTTTATTTTTCAATCCTTTTTATTGCTACATTTTTGCTCATGGAATAAATAGCTACTTCCTTATAAGGATAGGAATGATGTGGTACACTTTAAAACTTAATTTCTTGTCCTTTTAACAGAGCTTCCCCATGCCTTGTTACATTATCACCAGCAGTTTGTGGGCTGAGATCCATGTAACTTGGAGGGAGGAGAACATTAAGAACAACTACACTTAGTGGGTAGAGAAGCTTGGAAGCTTTTTTTTTAGACTTTTAACTATGTCAAGCCTTTTTTTAAAGGACTTTTCCTCCTTCAAAAGAGTGGGAAAGCAAACTGTCAATGTTTGACATTCTCTGGTTCTGGGATTTCTTGAACAGGCTTTGGGGGGGGGGGATTTTTAACTTGCTACAGTCATTCCTTAGAAACTAGGGATAGAATAAAAATATTCATTTTATATTTGGATTTGGATTTTCATATTTTGAGGTACTCATCCCATTATAAAGGCCGATTGATCTGTTTTGGATTTCTTTTAGGGTTTTGCCATTTTATATCATTATGGAATGTGGAGAAGTTACCAAACCAGAAGTTTCCCTGGCAACTCTAGTCTTAAATATTGAATTTCAAAATAGTATATTTACATATAATTTTATTAAGAGTTTTGATTATAATAGTAAAATCTAATAATTTTCTTTATAGCTTTTTACTATCTCTTTCAGTTTGTTCAAGCTTATAAATAGTTTTTCTTTTGTTCAAGGCTTAAAATAAATTCATCACTGAAGATATTTGAAACTTTTTATTCTGAAGGTCTCTAATAGTTTTAAAGTTAATAGGAAATTTCCAAAAGTGATTAGAAAGTAAGGTTTGCAATCTTAGTATCCTTGAAAAGGCTCCTCCACAGGAGTGGGATTCTACCAGTTTGCACCTATTCCCTAGAACCGGTTGTTAACATTCTAAGCAGTTCGGAGAACCAGTTGTTAGAAGCAATTACTGGCCTAATCCTGTAAGGAAGGCAGGAAGGAAACATTCTGGCGTTGCTTACAGAAACTGCTGTTCCGTTAACCCTTATTACATTCTTGGCAGGACTAGATTTCCTGTCTCAGGAATGTCTCTGGAGTTTTTTTCCCCACCTTTGCTGGTACTTTGCTTGTGTGGAGTGACCGTTCAAAGTTACAACAGCACTGAAAAAAGTGACTTATGACCATTTTTCACACTTACGACTGTTGCAGCATCCCCACAGTCATGAGAGGCCAGGCGAGGAGATGCGGGTCTCGATGTGAGTGATATAGAGTTGGCCACACCAAGCCAATAACATGACCACCAAGCCATGTCCACCCAGTCACATGACCACCAAGCCACGCGCCCACCAGCTAAGCCACGCCCACAGAACCGGTTGTTAATAATTTTGAATCCCACCCCTGCTCCTCTGTGGTTGTGAACAAGATGGCTAGTCCTTTGTCTCCCAGTGCTCCAATTCATAGAAAACCCCTGTCCTGTGGTTGGCTTGTGAGAAGCAATCATCCAGAGTTTGTGTGGTTGATCTCTCATCCTGTCCTTATATGGAGAGGTTCCAAGGAACTCACAGTTGTCTTCTGTTTGCCATTCATCCCCCAGGAGTCTGTGAATTTCAAAATCATATCTGAATGATCAAGTAAATTTTGAGTTAAATTCTAAATCAGAAATTCAACTAGTTTAATTCTCAACTGCCACATTTTAGCCATATTTAATTAGTGTTTAAATAGAAAATTATTTTGCAAAATAATACTACAACCTTGCTACAGTTTTTTTTAAAATAATAATGCTGCTTCATAAGCATTTTTAGCACAAATAAGGGAATGACACCCATTCTTTCCACATTATGGAATTGTAAATTGGCCCACCAATGGCAGGATGTTTAACTGACTTGTCACTACAGTAGTAATATTAAGTAATATGGATAGGCAATCCAGCTGTATGAAATGCCATAACCTATGGAATCATCTAGACTTTGCTTTTACAATGTGATTTTTGTCTTATTTTCTGCACTGTCATTGCCTATTATAATCACTGTTGT